CCCCCCCCCCCCCCCCCCCCCCCGTCAGGGAATGTGGGGGCATGGGGTGGCCACTACTGCTGCTGGGGGCTGTTGCTGCAGGCTGTTGCTGCCAGGATCCCTGGGACCCTCTGCAAGACTGCCGCCACTGCTGGACCTGTAAACTTCTGCTGCCGTCGCTGAGGACTGAGCTCGTGTCATCTGACAGTGGCTCCCTGATCTTTCCCAATTACCTAGCATGTACCTGCCTGTGAGGGGTCTGGTGACCCACTCTGTATGATGGGTTTGAAAGGTCTGAGCCATAATTCTGACAATATAAATGGAAACTTAGTATAACTAAGATAATGAAACATTTTGGCTTTAGTTATGATTTGCCTTACTTGACAACTGGCTTAGTCCTGTAGCTTTACACGTTTTTACTGTGGGATCATTCCTGATCTTCACAGAAAGATGTAATATATATTAAAATAACTTTTTTTGTGAACCCATGTAATGTTTTATTTTTTTTTAATGCAGTTTATCTTGTTGCGACTTATGTCAGATTATAACTCCTCTGGCATAAGGACTATGTTTTGCAGTTTCATGTACTTGGTTGTGCTTAGCATTCTGCCTTATAAATTGATAATATTCTATGAACATTTATTTTCTAAAATTTTATTTCCTTTGTCTTGGCAGGTTTATACAGCCTGGCCAGTGTCAGGATTTCCTGGAGGCAAGGTTGGCTTGAGTGAAGTGGCACAGAAGAATGTGGGCGTGAGGACTGGTGATGCCATCCAGGTCCAGCCTCTTGTGGGTGCTGTGTTACAGGCTGAGGAAATGGACGTGGCACTGAGGTTTGGCTCTTTTCTGTTGTGACTGTCTGAATCAATGCTGCCTAATAGAAATATAATGGGAGTCACAAATGTAAATCACATGTGTTATTTTGGATTTGCTCGTAGCCACATTTAAAAAGTAAAGAGAAACAGGTGAAATAAATTATATTAGTTTATTTTTTTTAACCAATATATGTAAAATCTTATTTTTCTACATAATTGTAAAAAAATTTCTAATAAGATATTTGACATCCCTTTTTTCAAACTAAGTATTCATAATTCAGTCTGTATGTTACACCTGTAGGACATCTTAATTTAGCCACATGTGGTTAAGTGGCTGGTGGCCTCCTGTATTAGACAGCATGAACTAAATGAGTACTATGTAATTTATGGACTAGGGATTCTCTCATGTCCTGTGATTAGAGTATGCCCTGACATTTTAGGTGAGAAGAATTATTATTGGTGAATATTTAACATTGTTTTTCATCTTGGCTTACAATGTAATCAGGACTTCTTATATTTCTTATAGTTGTAAAGAAAGGGGTACAACACTGTGAGTAGACAAGAAACAAGTTTTGATTAAGAATTCTCAAGCAAAGAACCTGACTGTATATTTTAACTCGTTGGGTATTCAGTCTAGTAAAATGAACGGTCATTACTATCAGATTTTTAAATAGTCCCTCACTAAAGACATATTGTTTGAATCAACCTATCAATATGTACAGTCATGTGCTACATAACATTTTGGTCAATAATGGACTGCATATATGAGGGTATTTCAAAAAGTTCGTGGAAAGATTCATATTATCTTTATTCTACATTTCCATGAACTTTTTGAAGCGCCCTCGTGTATTAGTACATTTCTGTTGCTTATAACAAAAATACATGGAAACTGGTTGATCTATAAAGAAAATAAAGTTTATTGCTTACAGTTTCTGAGGCTGGGAAGTCCGAAGTCCTTCTGGTGATGACCACAATGATCCCAGGAGTCTCACATTGCAAGATGGTAGAAGCAGAGAGAGACAGATTCTCTTCTCTCTCCTTTTAAAGCCCTCAGAACCATGCCCCTGACCACCATTTTTAATCCATTCACTACAGCATGGTCCTATAATCTAATCACCTTTTCAAGGCTCCACCTTTCAATTAGTATAATAGTATTTCCCAACCTCTTAACAGTCAGAGTGGGGGCCAAGTTTCTAATACATAGAACTTGGGGAACACAATTCAGGCTTCAGTGAGTTTTGGGGGGACATAATTCAGTCCACTACTCCTCGTCTGACTGTGGCTAGCCTAGGTGTGTAGTAGGCTATACCATCTAGGTTTGTGTAAATAGACTATGATGTTTGCACAATGACGAAATCATCTAATGACACATTTCTTAGAATGTTTCCTTTTAAGTGATATGTGATTATAGTTAAAAGTATATCTTCAGGATTTTGACTCAGTGTGCATATTACAAGTCTTATCAAAATTCATTTAAAAAAAGCATCAGGCTGGCCAGTTAGCTCAGTTGGTTAGAGTTTGTGTTGATAACAGCAAGGTCTAGGGTTTGATCCCTGTACTGGCCAGCTGCCCCTCCAAAAGAAAGAAAATCCTGTAAAAAAGCATCTTTTGGTACTTTTATGTTACCATAATAACAATTTTGGTGATGTACATACACTGTATGTAAGAATCATAAAACATTTTCTAGTCATTAGCTTGATTTTAAAATGTTTTCTTCTCTTTTGCTACCTTTTTGTTTTGTTTTGTTTTGGCAGCTGGCTGGTAAGGGGATCTGAACCCTTGATCTGTGGTATTATAACACCATGCTCTAACCAACTGAACTAACTGGCCAGCCCTGCTACTTTTGTAGATTCTAAGCTTGAGTTTTGGCATATTTTTTCCTTTAAAAACAGGGGAATGTTTTCAGAGCCTGTAATAACAATTTAATGGACAATAAAAAGCAGAAAGGAAAAGAGAAGACAACGTATATTGAGCACCTGCTGCATACCAGATGTTTTGTATATATTTCATACACATTACACGCACATGCATGTGTGCACTCACATACTCCTATTTGTGCTTTTTCTTCTCTCATTTAATCTTCTAACACCCTGCAAGGTATCCGTATTCATTGCTTTTTTAACGGTTGAGGAATTGGACTCAATTAGAAGAAGTAACTTGCCTAATATTTTATGGAGTAGTTAGTAGTACTGCTCAGATTAATCCTCAGACTATGTCTGAAAACATTGCCACAGGCAGCAGTAATCAGTTGACTGGAATTAGCATTTATGATAATCTATGAACTAGTCTGACCTCTTGAGGGTGCAGCAGGCTTAGGTGAATGATGATTGCCTATTGTAGAGGACTGTATATGTTTTAAATGGAAGCTCGGTTTTTAATTTAAAAAATTTTATATTTTAAATATGACAGCAGAGTGTAGACAAGAAAGCTAATTTTCACTGGGGAAAATCAGTAATTTTAATCTTCAGTTCTACAGTTGTAATTGAAAATTTTTGCTAGTAATGTTAGAGCTCCTTCTAGTGGAATTGATTTTATCTGCGCCTATTCGTTTTTTAAAAGCAAAAGTGGTTGAGTATTTTTACTGTTTTGTAATATCGTCTATTCAAAGTTTAATAAATAAAAGCAGTTTAAGTATAACTGGATTTAGAATTCTATAAACAGAAGTAAATTTAAGCATTTAAGGAGATACAATTTTCTCATTGTTTATACATGTATTTGTTTCATAAAATTTCCTCCTTGTTCCATTTCTTTCTTGCTCTCTCTTTTATATGAATATATAGTTGATTCTAATTGTTTATGGTAGTTATATTCTATTAAATTCACCTTGAATACTGTTAGTAATTACTAAACTGTTGTTCCTAGGGAGAAATAGGTATATATACATATCTTACATAGATTATGACTTTAAATCCTTAAAACAACTCATTCCGATAGGTTCTATTTTCTTTATTTTATGAAAGAGAAGAGAGGTTCAGACATGATAAGGGACTTGCCTGAGGCTTTCCCATTATAGGTGCTGGCTTCAGAGCTGGAGCTTCTTGCCTACGCTGCCCTGTCCTCTATCATATCCATTTTATGGTCATCTCTGAATGAGCTGAAACAAGAGGCAGAGCGTCACCTTGTTCTACCTCATCTGGGAATGTGGGTGTTGGGTGACCCAAATTTTTCATGGCTGTGCGATGTCTACTATTGACCACAAATGCTCTGCAAGTATTGATTTTGGAGTACAAATAAATTCTAGCAAGTAGGTGAATTTGCAAATACAGCATCCACAGATAGTGAGCATTGACTGTATTGTTTTATTACTGATAAATTGATTGAAGAACAAGGTTTAGATTTTGACCAGGTGGGCTTGCAAATACATCTCCCCCTGAGCTAAATAATCATTCCCCTCTGCTGGTCCCTGACAGAGCCTGGACATCTGTGGGCTTTCTTTTCTGATATGGGCTGCTTACACATGGAGCGGGAGGAAAAATTCTCATGTTCTGAGAACTCTCCAAGAGCAGGTTTCTTTATAAGTGCAGTGATATTTAGGTGTGCTACTTCTTGTGCTTAAACAAGCAACTCTTACTGGAAGATATGGTTATCAGGAAGAAGAAGGTCTCATTTTTTCTCAGATATGCCCTTTCTCTAGAATAAACTTTCATTGTAATTTTTACTCTCCTTTTTCCTACTTCTACTTCTTTCAATAACATACTATGTAGGATTTAATTTTCTTAATAATTTATAAATTATACAAAGGGAATGAAGTAAGCTATTAATAAAAGCCTTTCTCCAAGCTAGACAGGTTAAGAAAGGGACTGAATAGTTTAGGCCAGTGTTTTAAAAATGTTTTTAACTATGACATATTATAAAAAATACATTTTTTATCATGATTCATTATATATGCATACCCACAGTGCACATATACATACACATGTGTATCTGTATACATGTTTGTGTATAGATATGTGTATGCTTGTATATATATATATACATGTGCATGCTTGTGTACATATGTCTATAAGAAATTAATGTTATAAAAAGCAATATTTACCCTTTATATGTGCTATCTACTCTGACATTTATATTCTGTTAAAAAATGCTGGATGTGACTGACTGAAATGATTTCATGACCCACTAATAGATAATACCCATATTTTGAAGAAAATGATTCTAAACCACTAAGGCACCAAATTGCAAATGATATTTTCCTGTTTCTAAGAAGTGTCTGAAAAGTGTAAATCATCCCAAAATTGTATAAATCATTTATTTTCATATTGTAAGTTAATTATTTTGATTAGGTCTATATTGTATAACTATGTACATGTCATTTTATACCACAGTTATTTTCTGGTGTAACTGATGCTGATTTCTATCCCCCTCTCCGTCCTTGTACAGTGACAAAGACATGGAAATTAACGAAGGAGAACTAACTAATTGTATTCTGAGAAAACTAGGTGAGACAAATATTTTATTTTCTTTAATTTTAAGCAGCAAGGCAGCAGCAAATAAAATATAGTGTCTTCAAGGTCTTCTATACATAGTAGTTTTCTTCAAAATAGCTTAGAGAATATTCCCCTCAGTGAATTAATATCCTTTTGAGATAGGGATGTGTTACTTTTCCCAGTTAACTGATTTGCAGTTGTGCAGTGGAGAAAAATATATAACCTGTCTGTAGACAGAGTCAGGGGTAGAAGCGAGATGTTTTAACCCTTGTGTTCTTGCACTTTCAAGTGAGAATCACTGTCTTGGAGTGTTGGTATAGGTGTACCATTTTGGTTTAGTTTATTATTGAACATGGAATTCTTGTTTTTTGATACAGTTGACAAAATCTTAGGTCTATTGAGTGTAGAGGATTTTAAAGAATCATTTTGTACTTCTGTCTCTAGATAGTGCTATATCATTGGAGAGTATTAGGTCCTCTATTTTTCATGGAATTACTTTATTAGTACTCCGTCTTTGATTTAGTCTTTTCAGTCATGTAGTTTTGTTAATAGATGAAATAAATTGCTATTTAAACATTAAACTGGTGAAAAAAATTGAGCTAACGTGTATTTAATAAATTGTTTTCTAGATGGCAGGATTGTTTTACCAGGCAACTTTTTGTATTGTACATTCTACGGACGACCATGCAAGTTGCAAGTGTTGCAAGTGAAAGGGGCTGATGGCATGACATTGAGAAGGCCTCAGAGTGACTCTAACACTGATGCCCAGGGAATGGCCTCTGAACGGTCTAGCATGGAAACCAGTAGCCTGGATGTATCCTTACGGCTAAGCCAGTTAGATCTGGAAGAGCCCTGGAACCCAGCATCAAGAAGTACTCCTTGTAAACCAGTAGATGACAGAATTATAAATAAAACCTGTGACATTTTGTTGGATGTTTCACAGAGCCCTGGGGATGGCAGTGGACCTGTGCTAGAGGAAGTCACAGGTCTTAAATGTAGTTTTGAGTCTGCCAGAGAAAGAAATGAGCAACTTATCAATGAGGAGAGACTGCTAAAATCCACCACCATGGGAGCAAAGTGCAATACTGATACTTTTTATTTTATTTCTTCAACAACAAGAATCAATTTTACAAGTATTCGTACAAATTCAAAAGAGCAAGACAACCAGTTCAAAGTAACTTATGACATGATAGGAGGCTTAAATAGTCAGCTGAAAGCAATTAGAGAAATAATTGAGTTGCCTCTGAAACAGCCTGAACTTTTCAAGAGTTATGGTATGATTTTTTCAGTTTTTCTCACCCGATAGTTTTTTTTTTTTTCCTTTTTGTCTTTTTTTCGTGATCGGTAACGGGATCGCAACCCTCGGTGTCACGCCCGCACCGTGCTCAACCAGTGAGCGGACCGGTCTCTATATGGGATCAGAACCCTCGGCGGGAACACCGCCGTGCTCCCAAGCGCCGCACTCTACCGAGTACGCCACTGGGCTGGCCCTCACCCGATAGTGTTAAATTCAAACAACAAAACATTTGGCCAATTCCATTTATCTAATGATTGCTCACCCTCTTTTCCTGTTTTTATTTCCTGTGTGGTAGGTATGGTAAAAGGTGTTGGTTGCTTAGGGGGATGCCATTTAAATGAGCAATTTTCTGTGATTTGGTTTCCTTAGATTGTAATGTGAGTTAGTGACAGCTTTGTCTCTTCAGTACCATATTTCCACAGTTGCTTGTATTGGATCTAGAATAAATATCTTGTCATGCTAAATCAGCTGAAATGACTAAAGAAATAAACCATTCCAATATATTGGATAAAACTTCTTTGTTAGGAGATGTAGCTATGTGCAGGTCTCCTTGCATTGAAGCAGGTAGTCAAGGGAGTGACTTGACTCCTAGGAAATTCGGGGCTCCCTCTGTATGTTTACTGCCCAGATATACTTGGTATATACTATCTCTCTCTACTTTTTCCTTTTTCATGAATCTTTCTGTACGTGAAACGAACCCTTGGATTGACATTTTGCTAGTAAAGTTTATACTTTCCAAGATAGCCAGTTGGAAGAAAATTGGATTGGTGGCTTCTTTTTGTCTGCCCATGTAGTCTGGGCTTTGTTTTCAGATCATTGAATTGTGCAGTGTGGGATGGGACAGTAATGTGGGTGTCCAGACAGTTATTACCGACATACTTCCCCTGTTTTGTTCAGAGAGAGAGACAGTCATTGCTGTGGATCAGTGTGGGTGTGGGGGCAGAAGGTCTGACTAGTACCTTAGTTTATAACCATGAGTTATAAAATGTAAAGGTAAATTTACATTTTATAACTCATGTTTGAAGTCTTATGACATTTATTAGAAACTTAGTAATGCTGAATTCAGTGTCCTCTCCTTTTACCATCTAGGAATTCCTGCACCTAGAGGAGTGTTACTCTATGGCCCTCCAGGTACTGGAAAGACAATGATTGCCAGGGCTGTTGCTAATGAAGTTGGAGCCTATGTTTCTGTAATTAATGGCCCTGAAATTATAAGCAAGTAGGTATATGATTAATATATGATTAATAGAGCAAACTTAATATATATTAATTATATATTAATATAAATATGTGATTAAGAGAGCAAACTTAATATGGTTTTTTAAAGTGGCTGTGTGGTATTGTCTCCAGATATTTTATACATTCTAAATGTATAAATTTGCTTTTTAAATTCGTTTTTTAATATGTATAAAAATTAAGTTTGGAAACTAACTTTTGAAAGTAATTTAAAGTACTTTAGAAATTTTGAAAAGTCAAAATTAGCTGTTTTAGACAATGCTTTAAAAAACAATAAGAAATGGTTCTTAAATGTATTTTATTTGTTACAGATTCTATGGCGAGACGGAGGCAAGGTTACGTCAGATATTTGCTGAAGCCACTCTACGGTATTCCTTAGTTTTAAATGTTTTGGAATTAATAGTCAGGGCTGTATTAATCAAAGTGAGATACTAGCACTTTATACAAAGCATAAAGATAGTACAAAAATTATACTGATAGCACTAGAAATAGATTATAGGTCTAGTGAAATTCTATCTAAGCTATTTCTAATATTGTTTTGGAAGTTTGATAAATGGGTTACTAAATTACATAAAGTAGAAGAATTAAGACAGAGTGTTATTTGATAAGTAACGTGACCTTGCTTGGGCATGTGAATCTATGACTTTCTTTAGTGTACTTAGGCATATCTAGTATATGTAGTTCCCTAAGACTATATTATCATACCCTTTTATGCTTAAAACTTGTTATACTTTGCTTCAAGGGACAACTCTTTTGGCTTTTAAAAACTTTTTATTGATTATTCCTGAGTTTAAGCTACATTGTTACATCGCAGTGAGCATTAGAGTATGGTCAAATGTAATATTATTCATAATATGGCTATGCCTCTTCTGTTGTTCTATTATTTAACATCATAATTACTGCTCTTTTATCACAAGAACTGTCATTTAAAAAAATGTTCCCCCATGATAGTAGATGAAATAAGTAGTCTGTAGCTCCAGTACTGAAAATTTGAGAACCAGTGCTATACCTTATTGTTTAGTATGTTTTTGTTTGTTGTTATTTTCATGGCAGTTGAGGTTTCTTCTTGTGAGAAAATTCACATCTTTTTATGGGAGAATCAATCATTTTGAAAGTTCTTTTTGTATTAGGTTAAAAAAAGAAAAGAAGACATTTCTAGTTTATATCCTTTGGGATTTAAACCTGTTACAATACTGTTGCTTTGCCTCACATCGATTTATCACCTCTCTTCCCCTGGGTGATGGAGCCACAAAAGGATTACTCAAAGCCCATTTCTTCTGAGCAGTGAGAGATCCCAAAGGGATTAATTTCCTGGAATCCTCGAGAGAGGTGTTCCTTCCTTTGGAAATTAACCACGAACTGGGGTTCTCAGCCTACATTTATTCTCCAGACCAGGAAGTTACAGGAAAAGAACATAGGTGGGGTTTAACAATAGAGGCTGGTAACATCAGTGAAACAAGCAAAGTGACATTCCATAATGCAATTTGCAAAAGGTTGAGTTGATCTACCAACAAAAGCTTGATCTTAGCAAGCACTGTTTTTCCCTAAAGCAATTTCCCCAGTATTTTACATATCAGTCAAGTGACATGTCTGGCCTTGAGCCAGCAACTTTGCTGTGTTACAAAGACTTTAGCCTGAGGAAAGTTTCCTGTCTTTTGCAAGGTTAACATTTCTATATGTAATTCCAAAAGGTTAGGCTAAACCTGAGACTACAGGGCTTTGGAAAATAGGCCCTGTGAAATACATTTGCTTTATAAATGTTGGTGCTCTCTACACAATACCTCTGACTTCATCTTCTAAATTGATCCATTCATTACAGTTCAGTGGGCATGAGTGGGAGAGTTCTGCCAGGGATAGACTCTAATTTCATGAGCAACAGACTCTTCTTTTAATTGAGGGCAGATAGACTAGAATATGAGGTTGATGAGTTAATAATTTGAGCAAGAATTATTGTCAAGATTTTTCAGCTTAACATTCTAGATGCCTTTTTCTGTAATGTTATTAAGTAAATCCTAAATTTGGTGTGTTGCATTTTAGTTAAAAAAGTGAACTGTGTAAAGTTTAAAATTAAATATAAATTAGAGATTTCATTGTACTTGTTTGTTTTTAGGCACCCATCAGTTATTTTTATTGATGAGCTGGATGCACTTTGCCCTAAAAGAGAAGGGGCTCAGAATGAAGTGGAAAAAAGAGTTGTAGCTTCACTCTTAACACTCATGGATGGCATTGGTTCAGTAAGTACAGCACTAATGTTGATTCTGTGTAGGAAGGAGTTGGTTCTTAGTAATGTATATATAGTAGCACAAACTATCAAATGTGTCTGAGTCTTTGGGTATTCTAGGATAAGGCCATAGCAACTAGAAGAAAGACCTATAAAATAATTTGCTTCAGTAGATAACTTAGGAACTGCTAGGACAACATAACCTGGCATGTTTTTTAGCATACAAAATAACATATCATGATGGGTTTCTTTTGTGATAAATGGTATTGACTTAAAAACCTGAAACAATCAGTGAGGAAGATTCAGTAATTAAACTTTAGAGGATTTTATTAAGAAATTTTGTAAGTTTTATTACTCATTTAAATATCAGTTCTTTCTGTGCTTTGTGCTAGGCAAGTGAAAGGAAAGAAAGTGAGAATAGTATATATGTGTTTGTCTACATTTACGAAGAATTTACTCATATTACCAGATTCTCTGATAAGGGTATACCTTCTTGTATTATGTAATTATATGAAAGGAAGGTCCATGGGACTAGTAGAGAAGTGGAATGAAGGAAAACTCTGTCAAGACTGCTGACATCCATTAACCAGAAAAATATGCTTCTTATGCTAGATTGTAAATAACTAAAGTTTTTAGAATCTTAGTATGTTAGAACCAAAAGAAATTTTAGAAATCATGTGTAGTCCCAAGTCCTCCTTCTGCTCACTGAAAACTGGATAATTAAAATTTATTTTTACTGCCTATTGGTAGAAACTGAACATGTGAAAATAATGCGAAGGTTTGGTGTTAAAGTCTCTATTATTTACTGACATGTGTTAAGAATTTTAAGGGTCCACAAGTGAAAGGTTGTCACCTGGTAGAGTCAGGATGACCACCTGATTCTCATTCTTGGGGCAGTACCTAGGTGTGATTGTCATGTCCAGGTTTGGTCTCAGCTTATAAAGTTGGATAATTCAGTATTGTTAGTATGTTGGAGATGGTGGACCTCTGAGGACTGACCCATGATAACAACACTCATAAGGGACTGATATATAAACTGGGATGCCAGTTTTGTTTGTTTACCATAAGAGATGTAACTATTAAGCAACTAAATATCTTTGTTTATGTGTGACTGTGTTTTCACCCTGAAGGCGAAATACATGTAGAAAGCTGTATTATAATTAAAAGGGTCCTTGGTGAGTAGGAAGTCAGATGGAGGCTCAGTGTTGGAGGATCTTAATCACCATATCAATCTATTGCCTCTTTCTTCACCACTGGGATAAGTCTGCTGTGGATTGGTGTTCTTCTTGAGCAGGACTGGAAATGTGTGATACTGATGTTTTCCTGAAAATATTTGAGGGCTTATGTTTGTTTTTCTGAACTTGTAACTTGTTGATTTACTGTAGTCCATGCATTTTCTTTTGGCATATCCAGTGTAATTGATTAGGTTTGAGTTTTCTTACATAAATCACATTTCAGTTTTGCATGTCTGTATAAGATTACATTTGGGTCATCTGAGTAGAATACTGGATAATTTCTGTAGGTGGTTGATCATGATTATAGTTCTTCATTTTTTGTTGTTCCTAATTTCACTTTCAGAGAGTAAAATCCAAATATATTTGAGTGTGGTCAATATTCAGATATTGGTTTTACAAGGATACTTCAAGAAGTTCATGGAAAAATAGAATTAAAAGATAAAAGAATCTAAGAACTTTTTGAAGTTGTTGTATTGTTATCCATACTCACGTTTTTAGGAATTTAAAAATTTATCAAAATAGAAAATAGTCCATATGTGAAGAAGACTTCTTAGACGACTTCCTAATGGAGCCTTGTTCTATTTGAGTAATATGTAGGTCATAATCTTTGCTTCCAAATAGGGGAGAAGAACTACATAAAATAATTAAACAAAACAACTATATGTTGAGTATGAATGTTGTTTATGAGAATGGAATAGTTAAGATGCTAGAAGTGAGGGAGACATCACTTACAGTAGATGGAGAGGTAAGTATTGGAAAACTTTCTAAGTGAGGAAGCATTTAGGCTAAGCTTTGAAAAATGTGTAATGAAAGTAATAAATGTATAATAAAAATATATTACTAATAAAAGTAATAGATGGTAATAAAAGTGTAAGGGATAGGACTTAGTAGCCTTGACTGTTAGATTCATTATCCTTGTCCATATAGCCAGTGCCCACTTGCTTTTTTTTTTTTTTTTCCTTTTTTTATCTTTTAGGAAAATATGTAATTTTATTTTTATTTCATTTTGTTAGGAAGGAAGTGAAGGACAGGTGTTGGTCCTTGGGGCCACAAATCGCCCTCATGCTTTGGATGCTGCACTCCGAAGACCTGGACGCTTTGATAAAGAGATTGAGATTGGAGTTCCTAATGCTCAGGATCGGCTAGATATTCTCCAGAAACTGCTTCGAAGGATACCCCATTTGCTCACTGAAGCTGAATTGCTGCAGCTGGCGAGTAGTGCTCATGGATATGTTGGAGCAGACTTGAAAGCCTTGTGTAATGAAGCTGGTGAGTGTGATTTGTTGTGGTGATGGACCTTATTTACATACTGATTATTTATTTATTTATTTATTTATTTATTAAAAAGATGACCGGTAAGGGGATCTTAACCCTTGACTTGGTGTTGTCAGCACCAAGTGAGCCAAGTGAGCTAACCAGCCATCCCTATAAAGGGTTCCGAACCCGTGGCCTGGGTGTTATCAGCACGACACTCTCCCAAGTGAGCCATGGGCTGGCCCATTTATAATTTATATCTCACTTATCTTTTAATGGAAATAGCCTTATTTTTTCTAATCATGAATATGTATTGATGGAAAAAACCTAGATGATTCAGAAAACTATAAAGAAGAAATAAAAATCACTCTTAATCCTACCTCCTAAAGATAACCACTATCATAACGTATATCCTTCCAGACATTACCTAAGTACACACACATGTAAACATGTACACACACACACATGCATAATCTGATACATTGGTGAGAGTATTGATGTTGACATTATTTATTGATATTGTGCTATGGAAATTAGGGAGATTCTGCAGGAGAATCACAATTTTTCTTAAGGAGCAGCCTCATATTTGTTGAAGTGCTGAAAAAGTACTCAGCAAAACCCAAGAATTCTATGCCACAGAGTGTGTGATGGTGATATTTTAGTGTGAAAATGTTTAAGGGCTGTTATTAATCATTTACCTCCTTGACTTTAAGAACTTCACCATGGCGTAATGGTAGTTACTTTGAAAGCTCTTGAGACCTTTTAATGTTTGCACAGTTTCTCAGAGTAATTTTGACCATGTAAAATGTATTCAAATCAGGGCAGTTTTTATAAGTTATTAAGATATTTGATCCAGCAAGTAAGAATTTATTGAAAAAACTCTGATAGCCTTTTTTTTTTGTCCTGAGAGGATGTGTTTATTATCTAGTAACCTTTAAAGACTGGGCACGTACCTCAAAACATCTTTGGTTTGCTAGAAATCTTATGATTCTTAAATTTATTCTCTTCTCTTTGTATGGGCATATGTTTCTAAGTCCTTTTACACTCTGGAGGAATTTTTTCCAGTTGTGGCATTCTGCTGTTTCAGTTTGGACCCATCGAATGTTTTTCTAAGTTGTTTTAATGAAAGTTTAACCCTTAAATATAGGTAATGGAAGAAATTGAATTCTTGAATTGGAAATTTGGTTATTTTAGATTTATTTCAGAAATATGGTAATTTTTACTTAGAAATTGTTGATTTATAGTCGTCTAATTTAGTAGACCTTGAAGACCCTTCCGTAAGCTCTTTCATCCTTTTTATCTGGCCTGATGTGTGTAGGGAACGAGGTTAGAGGAAGAAAAACAGGTAGGAAGAGAAAACTTGGATGAGATATTTAGGAGTCTTTGAATATCTTACTCTTGCTGGAGAAAATCAGTTTTATTTTATTTTGTTTGATCATTACCACAGTTTCTAGGTTAGAGGACTCACAGTTGGGGGAGATTGCAGGATGTGTAGACTACCAAGGCAAATGTAAACATTCTTTCAATATGTTATGGCCTAGGACTCAGTCCCTTACTGTCTAGTTTCTTTGCTGCTTCTAGCTTCACAGGGAATGGTGAGCCTGGTCATAGAAATGAATTCCTTAGGGACCAAAAAGCAGAAGTATCAGTACATAACTTTGCTTCTTTCATTTCATTAGGTGATAATGAAGAGTCTGGATTACTGTGTAGGTATTTCTTTGGACTTGCAAAAGCATTTAGGCAAGAATTCAATCTTTAACATCATCAGACATTTTTTGACATTTTAATGCATTTCATGCACTCTAGAAAGCTCTGGGATTCTTTCTTTCCAGAAACATACAGTCCGATGAAAGAGAGATTTGCAAACAAGTACTAATACAGTGATGAAGTATTCATAAAAAGATGGAAAATGTAGTGATTTTTCTTATGGGGAAAGGAAATGCTGCGGTTGCATAGAAAAAGTGACAAAACTAAGAAGCTTAAGGAAAAAGTGGGAGTTCTTGACCTTGTCCTCTTGGCCTTGGTGTTACAACACTAACCAACTGAGGTAACTGGCCAGCTCCCCAAAAAAGTAGTTCTGTAGGCAGGCAAGTGAGAAGGTGAGAAAGGGAAATCATTCCTGCATTTATTTAATCTTCCCACCAGCTCTGCGATAGAAGTACTGGACTCGAGCGGTATCACAGAGGTGAAATTTAAAGCCAAGGTCATCTTACTTCAACTCCATGGTCAAAATTAAATAAAACATGGATTTTTTTTCAGAGTCGTATAAAGCTTTATGATTTAATTTTAGTCTATGAAGCTAAGGATAGGATCAATTTATAATGTAGAAAATATCCAGGTATTGAACTAATCAATAGTCAGGAGGTTAGTCAGGGCTTTCTCCAGTATTCTTAAAAACAATGCTATAAAGCAGACTAATGTCGATTGTGAAGTACACTGCATTTTCTCATTGGGACAGTTTTATCATTTCTGACTAAAGACTTGACCTTGAGTAAATTAAAAATTTGGTTAATAATGTGACTCAGAAGGAAAACTAAAACAACTCTGAAATTGTAAGCATTTAGTACAGTAGAATTATGCTCCAAGTGCTACAGAATGGACATAAGTGTATCCTACTTATTGAACATACTGTGGTATCCCCTTATACTATGATGTGTGCATCTGCATGGGAAGACAAGATTGATCCATATGGTAATTCAAACTACTCTCTTAGTTTTAAATAAAAAGCATTGAGCATTTAATGTTGCATCTCCTAAATTTAGAGGAGTTAGTAGGTGATAATTTGAGTGGCTTTTAAAATAACTTGTAAAATAACTTTTAAAATAACTGCATAGGCAAGTTCAAACTTGTACTTTTTTAAAAATATGGTCAAATTTCCTTGGGAAAGTGGAAGCAGTCGCAATCATTATACTGATTTTAGAATCACACACACAGAATTGTTTTTTAAAAAAAAATAGTCATGGTAATATCTTAATATTTGGAGGCAATATTAATGACTTCTGGTACATAATAGGTGCTTAATAAATATTTGATCAATTAAATTGAAGGAGAATGAGAAGTAGGAATAAAAGCTGGGAGACGTAATTATTACCCCACCCCCATCCCCATTGATTGGGGTGAAGAGTATTTATTAACCTCAGAATTGAGTTTAGTTTTGTTTTTATTTTTTATTTATTTTTTTGCAGGGAATTTAAGTAATAGTTTAATCATTCATTCATTCCTTCAGTATTTTTGAGATCGTTCTATGTGCTGGGTGATGGGGATACTAGAGATGACCAACGATCACAATCTAGTGGGGAAAGCCACACATACGTAGAGGGATAAACCACAATTCAGTGGGATATGACAGAAACAGAAACAAAATAGCACAGATGAGAGAACATCCAACTTTCCCTGTAGATTTGAGAAACTACTTTCCATATCTACAAAACTTCCCTTGTTATTTTCTGAATGCTAGGATATTATGATATGACAGTTTTGTATTTATATCAAATTGCAAAGTAGTTTTGCCAAAGATAGCTGGCACTCCGTTGATTCTCAGTAAACATTCTTTAAATGAACAAATGAATGTATTATAATTTATCGTGACCATGTCTTCTTCTTGTCATGCTATGTAAAAAGACTTCTATTTTATCCTTCTCTCTTTGAGTAGGATACTTTTTAAAAAAATTTATTTTTATTGAAGCATAATTGATTATACATATTTTGGGGGTTTAATGTTGACTACCATCACCTGTGTACAACATATGTTGTTCAAATCAAAATTATTAGCTTATTCATTATTACAAATCATACTTATTCTTTATGCCTCTTATCCAGTCTTTCCCCATTCGCCCACATCCCCCCCACCTCTAATAACCATAGATTTGTTCTCTCCTTCTGAAAGATTAACGGTTACTCTGTTGATTTGTTGCCAAGATGATCTGTCCAGTGCTGAGAGAGGGGTGTTCAGGTCCCCCAATATTATTGCAGAGCAGATGCTTCTTCTATTACTCTGGAATGTGCTTCGTGGAGAGAGACGTCCTTTTTTGGGGGGGGCCTTCGCTGGTGGCTGTCCTTGTGTCAATGCAGTCAAGTGTCTGGCAGGCCACCTGCATGGTGGCTGTGGCTACTGCTGTGGCATCTAGCCACTTTTGCAGCAGCTGTGGCTTTTGCAGTGTCTGTGGTGGGCCACTCACATGGAAGTGGTGTTTTTGGCATGCTGATTGCCTGGTTGTAGGCAGGAGAGGTGGCACTTGGCTCCTGCCTCAGGGCCCTAGGTGGGCCCTGTGGCAGTAGTGTGCCTGGTTGTGGGAGGAAGTCTTGGCCCCTGGTTCTATCTGTTTTGTTTTTATTTTTCATTTATTCTTTTCTTTCTTTCTTTGTTTTTTTTTTTTAAGTTATCATTATACAGTGTAATTGATTTTCATGTCCCTTTACCAATTTGTCCCTTTCGCCCCTCCTTCTTCCCCTTTCCCACACCTGGCAATCTCAGTTCTGTTCACTTCTCTTAACAAGTTCAAAGAATTATTGTGGTTGTTGTATCTTTTTTTTCCCCCTTTTATTTATTTCTTTATTCATTTATTTTTATTAGCTCCCACATATAAGTGAGAATGTGGTATTTCTCTTTCTGTGCCTGGCTTATTTCACGTAATATAATTTTCTCTAAGTTCATCCATGTTGCTGTGAATGACAGAATTTCATTCTTTTTTATACCAAATTGGTATTCCAGTATGTAAAAATACCACATTTTCCTTATCCACTCTTCCAATGATGGGCATTTAGGCTGGTTCTAAACTCTTGGCTATTGAAAATAGAGCTGCAGTAAACATGGGAGTACAGGTATCCTTTCAACATGATGATTTCCATTCCTTTGGGCATATACCCAGCAGTGGGATTGCTGGGTCATGTGGCAGTTCTATCCGTAGTTGTTTGAGGAATCTCTATACCATTTTCTGTAATGACTGCACCATTTCACGGTCCCACCAACAGTGTGGGAGGTTTTCCCTTTTTCCACATCCTCGTCAGCATTTGTT